TGTTCTGCCATCTGTCACCACTGAGAACAGCCTCTCTCCAGCCTCTTTGGAACCTCCCTTCAGGAAGTTGAAGGCTGCTATCAAATCCCCCCTCACTCTTCGCTTCTGCAGACTAAACAGATCCAAATCCCTCAGCCTCTAGTCACAGGTCATATGCTCCAGCCCCCTCATCATTTTGGTCGCCCTCCGCTGGACCCTCTCCAATGCGTCCACATCCTTTTTGTAGTGGGAGGACCCAGAACTGGACACAATACTCCAGATGTGGCCTCACCAGAGCCAAATAAAGGGGAATAATGACATCTCTGGATCTGCTGGCAATGCTCCTCTTAATGCAATCTAATATTCCATTAGCCTTCTTGGCTACAAGGACTCACTGTTGACTCATACCCAGCTTCTCATCCACTGTAACCCCCAGGTACTTTTCTTCAGAACTACTACTTAGCTGGTTGGTTCCCAGCCTGTACCAATACTTGGGATTCTTCCATCCCAAGGGCAGGACTCTGCACTTGTCCTTGTTGAACCTCATCAGATTTCTTGTGGCCCAATCCTCCAATTTGTCTAAGTCACTCTGGACCCTATCTCTGCCCTCAAGCGTATCTACCTCTCCCCTTAGCTTAGTGTCATCTGTAAACTTGCTGAGGGTGCAATCCATCCCCTCATCCAGGTCATTAATAAAGATATTGAACAAAACCGGTCTTAGAACCAAACCTTGGGGCACTCCGCTAGAAACCAACTGCCATCCTGACATGGAGCCGTTGATCACTACCTGCTGGGCCCGACCTTCTAGCCATCTTTCTATCCATCTTACCATCCATTTATCCAATCCACAATCCCTTAACTTGCTGGCAAGAATACTGTGGAAGACCGTATCAAAAGCCTTGCTAAAGTCAAGGTATGTCACATCTACTGACTTCCCCATGTCCACCGAGCCTGTTACCTCATCATAGAAGCTATATTTTGTTATTAAATGTGGTTCCATGGTAAAACCTCCCACATCCCGCAGAGAGAGAAATCCTGGCAGGTGATCACTCCCTGCAGGGGAGCAGTGCAAGGTGCTGGCGATCCCTGCTGCCGGGGGAATGGAAGAGGGAGGGGAGCTATGGACACAGCAGACCTTTCCCAGAGGTTAGTGAACCCTCCAGCGATTTACACTGGGGCAGACCAAGGGTGCCAGTGACTAAAACCAGCCTTGTTTGCACTCAGGAGAAGAGGAATTTTTGCCATTTAATATCTGCTCAATTTATCATTTTCTTATTTGAGCAGCTGAGAGCAGAGCTCCATTGCACTGGGGGCTGCACACACAGATGGCGATAGATGGATTTCCTCTGTGGCATTTACAATCTACCTAGACAATGCAAACAATATTCCACGCTAATAGGGGACCTAAGGTGCAAAGGGCTTAAGTGACTTGGCCGGAGTTGCCCAGTGAGTCGGTGGCAGAGAAGGCAATCGGCCACCCTCCTTCAGGGTGTGACACCAACTTCCATTACACAGCTCTTGCACCAGACAGCTCACACTTTGCAGAAACAGCTGCCTTAGGCCAGTCCTGGAAATGTACAGGGGCGATGGGGCAGAGCATTTAATCAGAGGTAACGATTAGTGTTTGCACAGGGAAGACTGTAATTAACACTGGCTTTAACTCCTGCCCCAACAGAGAGCCATGCAGTGCATGCAGCATTATGCTTCCTGAATACCCCAGGCTGAGTGCAGAGTATGTTGCCTTGATTAATGGTACCTATTAGACTTCATTCTCTCCCTAATTGGCATCTTTGTGTGCAGAGTGTCAGCATGAAGGTGCCCTCATTAGCCTGATCAGTGCTCTTGTCTGTCACCTGTCACCCAGCCAGGCTCTCTGCTCCCTGGAATGGCGACTGACCGAAATAGAGGCACTAGCAGCGTTTCTGAGGAAAGCAAAGAAGCCACCTCCGGGGCCTGTCCACTTGCGTCCCTGCCGCCCACTGCCTCATCAATCAATCACTGAGCACACTGCTGCTGCGAGGAGGCAGCTGTCTCTGGGGATGACGGCCCCGTCCCTCACTCCAGCACTGCTGAGATCAGCCAGGGGCAGACCAATCTAGAGCGGAGCATGCGGTGCGGGAGGATTTCAGACAGGGAGAGCCCCTTTGAAGTGCCTTGCTATGCTGACACGGTGAAATATCCCTTTAGAGCTCCAAGATCTCATGTACTGGCGCTAGCGTGGGCAGGAAAGTCTTCTCTTCCCAGTGCCCCTTATGCAGAGTGTAGCACTTTGCTCTGTCAGACTATGGAGGCGTCTCTTCCGGAGGCAAGGAAAGATTAATAATATGAGGAGACATTAATGAGACTGGGTCTTTTCAGCTTGGAAAAGAGGCAACTACGAGGGCTATGACATCGCGACTGATGTGGAGACAGTGACTAAGGAAATGCTTTTTTTAACCTGTGGAACTCCTTGCCAGAGGAGGCTGTGAAGGCTAGGACTATAATAGAGTTTAAAGAGAAGCTGGATAAATTCATGGAGGTTAGGTCCATAAAAGGCTATTAGCCAGGGGATAAAATGGTGTCCTTGGCCTCTGTTTGTCAGAGGCTGGAGAGGGATGGTAGGAGACAAATCGCTTGATCATTGTCTTCGGTCCACCCTCTCTGGGGCACCTGGTGCTGGCCACTGTCGGTAGACAGGCTACTGGGCTAGATGGACCTTTGGTCTGACCCAGTACGGCCGTTCTTATGTTCTTATGTTCTCCTTCTCCTAACACAAGCACTAGGGGTCAGCCAGTGAAATTAATAAGCAGCAGGTTTCAAACAAACAACAAGAAATGTGTCTTCATACAATGCACATTAACCTATGGAACTCCTTGCCGGAGGATGCTGTGAAGACCAGGACTTTAGCATGCTCCAAAAAAGAGCTCGATCTGTTCATGGAGGATAGGTCCATTAGCAGCTATTAGCTAGGATAGGTAGAGAGAGCCCCAGTGACTTCCAACAAGCCTGCACGGGACACTACATCTGACAGGAACAATCCACGCGGGCTGGATGGCGGCATGGAGACAGACTAAAAGCCCCTTGTGTGTGTTTTTTATCTCTAACAGCTACAATTCAAGGCAGCCTCTAGTCCAGGTGGGTTGTGGCTCCTCATGCAAACAGGTGACCTATCTGTGAACATGCTGAAGGGGATCTGGGCTTGTCTGAAGCCCTGCAGCTACTGCAGCTGCCGGCAAGACTATGGAAGAGGGGACAGAGCAGCACTGACACTACTCCTCTGGCCTGGCAGTCACTGTGGAGGGGGGAGCTGCGGACACACCCTGGGGCCAGAGGCCCCCTTTGATGATCCAGGACGTGCACAGTCCCATCACCCCCCAGGCCAAAGCCAGCAGGGTGGGGCCGGGGGGACAAGGGCTCCTACCTGTCATAGTCTCCATTGCAGAGGGCTCGCACGGGGATGGAGAAGGCCTGCCACACGGGGTTGAGTGTGTTCTTCACCACTTCTGTTTTATTGTAGATGGGGAAGCTGCGGATCCAATCAAGCCATGAGCTGACCCTGAGAACCGGGCGCCTTCCTGGGGATCTCTCTGACCATGGGGGGCCGTTCAACCCAGCTCCTTAGCCTGGGAGCCTTGCAAACACTACCACCAAAGTGATGGTGGCAGGCCAATTCCCGCAGAGCCTGTGGCCTTGTCCAGGGCCTGAGCCAAAGGCCAGGGAGGCTTCTCACGGCTCGAGCGGGCTCTGCAGTGCATCCGCAGCCCAGATGAGCGTCCCCGCATCCTCGCTGCACAGGCCACAGCAGGGCCAGACTCATCTTGCTCCTGCATCCCTGGGCTTCAGCCCAAACACACAGACAACATCTATGGCTGAGAAAGGAGACCAGCCTACAGGGGCCAGCCAGCCTCTCGGGGCTGATCCAGAGAGGTGCAGAGCACTCTTGACTTGTACCAAATCACTGGAAGCTGTGGGTGCCGGGTGCCCCTCACTGTAGCCTCTAGGCACTGCTCAGACTCCGCAACCTCACGCTCTGGCCCTACCCTCTGGGGAGCTCTCAGGGAGGGCAGGTCCCTCTGTGCCAGGCAGCAGCCACCCCGGAGGTGAGCCGCCCAGACATCCACAGGCCCAGGCTAAATGGGACGTAGCTCTGAGGCCCCATGCAATACGCCGATCAGCACGCTGAAGGGCGGCAGTCAGGGTAGTCGTGCGCCTGTGGCGTGTGCTCCGAGTGAACGGCAGCGCTCCCTGGCCCTGTTTGGCTTTGATTTACAGAGATCAATGGGATGAATGTCTCCGTTCTGCTTGGCACACGGCTCATTAAGCGTTCCCATCCCCGCGGGAATTGCAGCCGCGTTCTGCTCTCAGCTGCCGGGTTCAAGCCAGGGACTGAAGAAGGGAGAACTCATTTCTCACGACGCCTTGCAGTGTGCGGCCAAGGGCAGGTGGGCTCCCCCCAGCACTGCCTAGGGATCCTGTGCCCGGAGCAGATCAGCTGTCACGTGGGTGGCAATGGCAGGTGGGACAGGGCGGATGCATGTCGCATCCCACAGGTTTCTCTGGGCTGGTAACCGAGCGGGTGTTTCCACGGGGCGCTCACACCCCTGAGCACTCCTGGACCCAGGCACGATAGCAGGGGGTGGCCGACCTTGAGGGGCCCTGCTGGAGATTCTTGAGGTGCAGCAAGAAATCCAGGGGGATTCTGCCATTAGCCTTTGGCCCAGCCAGAGCAAGGCTGCCTGTCCCTGACTCCTCACGGCACAGTGAGGCCCAATGGGGCGGCTCCCGGCTGCTAGGTCAGGCCTGAAGGGCCCAGGCCTTCCCACTGAGCAGCGACCACGGTAGCAACCGCAGCAAACCCCTCCCCGGGCCTGGTTCTGCC